ACTAAGTCTGCTCAACTAATGAATTCATTCCTTAAATCATATGGAGTGGCTGATGTGTGGTGCTTCCATAACCCTATTTCAAGGTCATTCTCATTCTTTTCTCCAGTCCATAAGACGTACTCTCGAAACAATTGTTTTTTCTTGAAAAACATATTTTGCCTTTGGTGGAGGAATGTGATTATGGAACTATGGTCATCTCAGCATGGCCCACTTATTATGAAATTGTACATCCTGGTCACAAAATCAGTATTTCGGCCTTGGAGATTCACCCCCTTACTATTGTCCAAGGAAGACTTTACCAAGTTTCTTACATCTGAAATTGAGTCGAACACCTGGAGTGCCACTCTGTCCTGTCTGGGAGGCATTAAAGGCTTACCTGAGGGGTCAAATAATTTCTTATTGTGCAAACATAAAAAAGAAGGGGTCAGCGCAGCTAAAACAGATCACGAATGAGATACTACAATTAGACAGAAAATATAGCCACTCCCCCTCAAAGGACCTAATGAAAAAATGTTTACTTCAAACTGAATTTAATACTTTGTCCACTCAGCAGGCAGAGTATTTAATCTTTAAATCTAGACAGGGTTATTATGAACATGGTGAAAATGTTGGGCGCCTGCTTGTACATCAGGTGAGGCGAAATTCAGTCAACCAAACTATTAAAGCAATAAAAAATGAACAGGATGCTGCATGCCACAATAATGCTGAAATTAATACATTTTAGTAAATTTTATCAGTCATTGTACACGACCGAGCCATCAGCTTGCGTATCAGACATGGAGGACTTTTTTGAAAATCTTGAGTTTCCTTCAGTGGCTCCTGTTCTCGCTGAGGACCTGGAGAAGTTCTCTTTGGCTGAGACTAACTCCTCATAGGAGCTCTGCTGAGCAGAAATCACATGTAATTTATTTAGAAAGTACAGTAGTCGCTCACTACTTCGCGGTTCGTTTATCGTGGACTCGCTCTATCGTGGTTTTTCAAAGATTGGACATGACACACAATTGGCTGATTAATGGATGAGCCACATGATCGGCATGAAATTTTTATTTAAAATAAATTATTTTAAATTATTTAGCATCTGCTGCATCTTTGTGCAGCTCACAGCTAAAGAAAAAGCTCCCTCCTGCACCTTTGTGCAGCCCATACTGCAGGATAAGCAGCTTCCTCCTGCAGCTGATCAGCTGTTCTCCATGCAGAGCGGAGAAGTGGGCGTGGCCAAGAACCCTTGCAGGTGGCAAAAAGCACCATAGGCACAGAGCTGAAATCATGACATTCTGTGCTCTTAGTGTTTAGTTTAGAAACATTGTTTAGAATATTGCAATTGTGAGAAGGGTTCAAAACTCCTTAATATATATATACACATGTATATATAAATACTAAAATAAACTACTACTTACTACTTGTACTACTATTCCTACTTCATGGTTTTTCACTTATTGTGGGGCTTCAGGGTACAGATCCCCAGTGATAAACAAGGGACTACTGTACATTTAAAAACAGTAGATGGTATCAAAGGTGGGTTTTTTTTTTTAACAAAGTGTTTTAATTGAAATTTTTTCCCCAAAACATACAACAACAACATAGAACACAGAAACACTGGGTGTTCAGACTGGTAAAGAAGGATTTAGTGAGAAAGATTGGCAGATTTTGAAACAAGTATAGGAATTTAGGTAGGATATTCTTTTTGACAGTTTATTCTGCCCCCTAGCGTGAGGACGGAGGAAGGGGAAGAGCCCCTCCCTTCCATTGTCTCCACCGCTCTAGTTCAAGGAGGCAAGTGTTATGGTTTCCACTACACTATTTCATATGGACTAAGCCCTTTCTTTCCTAATCTTTCCTGTTTGCTATTGATGAGGACGGACACTTTTCCCTCCTGCTCCTGCCTTGCTCTTTGTCTTGTGATCCCTATCGGAGCCTCTCACTACATATCCTACGAATTGTAATTACGGATCTGGTCAGCTGATCTCTCAGTTCAATTGATAACATTTTCTCGACTAGAAGACTTGGCAAAGGAGAGCCCTCATACCCTGAAGGAACATTCGCAGGTGTATACTATGGATTCCTGGGGAGAGTGGAAGATGGTGTGTCTGTCTGTATTGTCCATTGAGGATGTAGAAGATGCATGAAGGAATGTACCAAGCCATAAGCTCTCAGACTCCGCATGAGCTGAGCCGTAAGCTGGACGTGATTTCTGAGAATCGCAGGCCACTTGCGGCTCCTGGGACTCACTGGCAGAAAGGAATCGACCTTGGAGAAAGCTCCAAGCTCGGTCCGGCAGTGTCACCACAAAATTTGACTGTTTGGAATTGCCAGTGAGACGTACCAGCAGAACTATGAAGGCAGACATGGAAATTCAAGTAGTCTGCCTGACCCAAAATAATTGTTTTCTGAATGTAGCTTCCAAACTTGGCCTTGAATTGGCCAGCTATCTCAAACTCCTCCTGGTTGTT